TTTTTGTTCTCAGTATCATATATATATACATATATATATATATATACACACCATTTTAAATACTATTTTAGTCTCTAAATACTTTTTTACTATTTTGGTATTAGTACTCTCAATTTTTGTTCCTTTTAATATTTATACTTTCAAAATACTTGTTTTGATTCTTATCATTGTAATCATTATTTTAGTCTATTCAATTTTATTTGTATCTCATTTATGTTTATTACAGTTTTGACACTTCACTTATATTAAAGACTTTTCAATTTTTATTGTATTTAAAAATGTGTATTAAAATTTTATAAATATGAATCCAAAATGGTCATTTTTTAAAAGTATAAAGACTAAAATAGATATTTGAAAACACAAGAACACCAAAATGAACAAGGCCGAGAGTACAGAATCGAAATAGGTATTTAAACCTCTGTATATATTTATGTATAAACCCTATTTTTCTGTATGATGAACCAAAGTTTTAGTAATCCAGCAAGCTTCTGTGGTCAGGAGGAAAATAGCTCGCGGATGCAAATTGGTGCGGCAGCAAGGGCCACGGAGGCGGCGGTTGGATTATTGTTGGAACTGTACTGAGCTGACAGTGATCGGTGGCGGCCGCCGCCACTAAACTGCCCTCTACGGTGGTAATGTCGTGTATGCTGGATCTTTTCCGATCTTTCTTGGCGGACTCTTGCCGGAGAAAATACTTTTGGGCATGGCTGGCTACCTGTGTTGGCGTTCTTGAAATCACCACGTTTCTGGAAATACTTCTCCAATCACCCTTCCCGAATTTCTTTAGCCCCAATAAAAATAGCCTGCCAAAATTAAATAATAATATTACCCCACTAAATTAATTAAATGCAAATTATTACCAGGTTTAATGACCAGAAAACAATGTTTTAAATTTTGTTTTGTACGATTAGTTTATTTTAGCATCTGAATTTTCAGGTCAAAGTTATTAAAAACAAATATGTGGATGGCTAAATTTTCAAAATATTATTTTTTTAAATAATATTTTTTATCTTACTATTATTATGCCACCTCATGTCTGTCCATCATGTACATCTCAATTTTTTAGTACGTAAGGTAGAACTCTTTTTAGTTGAGATATATAAATAATTGAATTATGTTCACATTGATTCCATTGCAAGAAAAATGATTTTTCTTGACGTTTTTATTTTCGATGTAAAAAAAAATGTCGGGAAAAGACGCATATAAAAAGATAAGATATAAAAATCAATTGAGTTATGTTTATATTTTCTCTATGTACATATATACAAACTCGTAGGTAGGTTGTTTTTTCAAATAAAATAAATATGGGATTAAAATAATATTTCTTTAAAGTTCGACAAAAATAAATATTTAGCAAATTAGGATTAATAAAAATCTTTTAAAAGGTTCATAAAAAAGATTAAAAACTTAAGGAAACCAAATCAATGTCTACCCAGTTAAGTTATATTGTTGGTTTTATTTTTATTTTCTTGAGAACTTATATTGTTGGTTTTAGGGTTAGAAGATTAAATTTGACATACTGGTGTTCCTTTTTTGTCCAGGGCTTCCCCTTCTTCCTCTCGGTCTCATTAGGTCTACTCTTCGACGGTTTTTCCGATAAATTAGGCGGCGGCGCCTCTGTTTCCGGCAAGCTGGCGACCGAGTCGTCTTCGGCATAACTCGGCAACTCGACTCGTCCGGAGTCAATATCGAGCAGGTCAGAAACCAAGGCGTCGTAATGGTAGCTGACTTCGGCGGGCGACTTACCGGGGATGAGACCGGCAATCCTGAGCCAGCGGTTGGGGGAGTTCTCCGGCACCATGACCAGAGCGTGCTCGAAAATCTTGTCCTGGTGGCGAGTCCACGGAGCCGGAGAAGACGGTGCCGTTTTGGGGCTCCAATAGTCGTCGGAAACCCGAAAGGAAGGGGATGGGGGGCCTTCCATGGGCTCCGTCGGACTGGGACTGAAAAACCAGCAGATCTCCGACCGAAGACACAGTTTCGGAGGGCTTTTAGAAGGGAGGGTAAAATGGGCACGTGCGAGAGATGAAATATTTGCGGTGCTAAAAATGGGGACGCCAACGGATTCACCCCCGGTAAAAAGTAAATTCCAACACGTTTTTGCCTTATTCGTATTTTTACCTAACGGCTATAATGTTTATTTTTTTTTTCCCTTTTTTTTTCTTTTTTTAAGACAAGAACAGCTATAATGTTCTTTATTGGGTGTGTGATTTTTTTTAGACTGCTATTTTAATTTGCTCTGGCCTTTTTCAGATGGTTAATTTGAAGTTGTTCTATAATAAGATTCACCATTTTCTTTTCTTTTCTTAAATTACTTTTTTTTTTGACTTCCTGTTAGATTACTTACTTGTTGGAAAATTAATGAAAATAAAGGGTAGGCTTTGTAATGATTTATTATAATATATATGTGCATGCTTATTTACTATGGTAGGACAGTCGACTATTAATCAATCGGTCATAGATTTGAATCCTACCGAAATGGTTCACTTTGACCGTTTAAGAGTGTAGGTAATTAACCTCATTCCCCATATCCTTGTTTCTACGGCATTCTATTTCATCATATCAAATTTTGTTATGTGATACTTGAGAATCATCGGTTCAAGAATCAGTTTTTATTTTTTTATTTTTATAAGAGTTAAAATCATTTATTTTAGTGTGTTCATCTTGAGCTGAGATCGAACTCTCCATGAAATTCATAGTTATATTACTTATCCTTTTAAACTTTTAAGTGAAACTACACATTTTTATCTGAAATGGAAATAATTTAAACTAAATCTAAAATACGAATTTTCAAAACAATGTCTAACTTGCTAATAAATTGTATTTAGATTTAGTCTTCATGTGTTCAAATATGAATAACTAGTAAATAACAATTTTATAATAATTAAATAATGGTTATATGATAGCATAATCTAATAAGAAAACAGTCTTTATCATGAAAATATTGAAAATAGATCTTATATATAGGAGCATAGTAGGAAGATTAAAACAAGAAATGTGGTATGCCCATCTTCTCTAATCTTGAAGCTTTTTTTTGGCAAAGTTTGTAAATGTGAATGTAATGGAAAAATAAGATGACGTTGTCAAAAGAAGCAACATTTTTTAAGTCATTCAACTCTTTTACGAGTAGTTCAGTAAAAAAAAAAACTCGTTCACAAGTAACAAAAAAATGAACTTGACATAAAAATGTTCTTAAGATCCGAGGTTCAAATCCCTATATTTTCTACCTTTGTTATACTAAAAGGCTTATTAACAAAATAGATTCGTAATTTTTGTAAGATTACATGCTCATTGAGAATTAAATAAAAATATTCATCTAAGAGGGGGATAATGACACTGTCATTGTTTTTTTAACTTAAATGTATTTAAATACTCCTTTCATCTCCTTTTCAAAATTCTAATAGTAATTATTTAAAATTGAGCAAAAAAAATGTAAATTTACAAATATTTAATTTTTTTTTTGGGTCGAAGATATATTATTTTAACTATGTTCCGTATTTGAGTTAATTTTCCGGGTATAATGGAAAACATCTCTTATTCAAATAATTTATTTGTTACTAAAATAAGTATTTAATATATTTTTTGGAAGTCCAATTTCGGCCCGTCATGTTTCTCAGTCCAAATCCTTTGTGGAAGAAAAAAAGAAGTCCAAAACGGAGATCCATGTAAGCTCTCTTAAAGCCCAGAATGTCTTGGCCCAAAATAAATAGTATCTTCTGTATATAAAATCTTCGAAACCCTAGCTTTGTTCTCGCCCTTCATTCGCCATTTTTTAGTCGCTCCCTCTCCAGTTCCCAGTTCCCTCCCCCCCTCCGGCCGCCATGAAGTACAATCCTAGGGTTTCCAGTTCCCGCCGCAAGAACCGCAAGGCGCATTTTTCTGCGCCGTCTAGCGTCCGTCGGGTTATTATGAGTTCTCCTCTCTCCACTGATCTCCGTTCTAAGTACAATGTCCGATCCATGCCGATTCGAAAGGATGATGAGGTCCAAGTCGTCCGTGGAACTTACAAGGGCCGGGAGGGCAAGGTAGTGCAGGTCTATCGTAGAAAATGGGTCATCCACATCGAACGCATCACTCGTGAAAAGGTTAATGGATCCACTGTCAACGTTGGCATCAACCCCTCAAAGGTCGTGATAACGAAACTCAGGTTGGACAAGGACCGCAAGTCACTTCTGGATCGGAAAGCCAAGGGCCGCGCCGCCGCTGACAAGGACAAGGGTACCAAGTTCACCGCCGAGGATATCATGCAGAGCGTCGATTAATTTTGAAAATGGTGATTTTTAAGTTTATAGAACTGTTATTCTCTTTCATAGTTACCTAGCGTGTTTGTGTTCCAAGATACTAGGAAGAATTTCCTCGGACCTGTGGCTATAATTGTCGACTTTGGAGGCCTTGATTTATGGCATTTTAATCACATTTTGTTATTCCAATGCGCTGCCCTTCCGGTTTTATTATTACTGTTTCTAGTCTTTCAATTTGCTTATTTGATATTGCAGATGCCTATTTATAATAAATGCTTTATGATGTAGGTTATGGATGATTTGTTTATATTGATAGGGGTTCTTACAACTCAACCTTATGCACTCGGTTAACTGAATTTTCTTATTTGTTGGGAGCACCTAGTACATGTTATCTTTGAATGTGGGAATTGAACACTTGTTCCTGTGATTTGATCTAATCTTGCAGTCTTCAGCATTTATTTCATTTAACTCACTCTTTTCTGGTCATGGTAAGAACAAAGTTCATTCCAAAAGATAGTGATACATTACATTATTCTTCCCAGAAGATAACTATTCTCGTGTTACACAATTGTTAATGGGTGCTGTGATGATTATCTAATTTTGGATTAACTTCGTCCTGATTTAGTTTCCTTGGCTTTGAATTATAATGTTGTAATCGTTATCGACTGTCCCTTTAGTTTTCCTGGCCAACTCTTTTTTCACTCTGTATGATTTATGCGTTTTACTTTAGAAGTTTTGTGTATGGATTCCGATCCTCTTGGTCATGGTATTGATTATTGAGATAATTTGATATGGTTGTTAGAGCTGGAAAATAAATCTTGCTGCCTTCGAGTTGGTTGATCTGAGTTATTTGCATTAGTCTTTGATGAAACATGCATTGTTTATTTCAAGAATCTTACGCTGCAATTTTTGCATTTACACGCCACATTGCTCTAGTTAGGTTTCACTCTCCGCACAAGACTATCTCATAACGATTTTGAGAATGTAGGGAAGAAGGATACTCCATACTTTAATACATATACATAGTAACCCACCCCCTGGTTGGATCAAATTTAACTCTGGCTATTTAGGTTTTACCAATGTTACTAGACGAGGTTTGTCAAACTTTCATTGCTTAGAAGGGACTTCCCATTGGTTGGGAAAGTCTTTGTGCATAGAATAAGCTTGTGAGAATTACAACGTTCTGAAAAACTGTGGAAAAATGTTGCTCAAAATAGGACCCCAAGGCTGTGCAAGTGTTTGGTAGAGGCCAAACCGGTGAGCACTCGTACTTGGAGGAAAATACAACCGACCCAGAATGGCAAAATTTCGAATCTGAAAACAACCCTTTTCATGTAACATTATGTCCAAACAAGATTTTAGTAGCTGACTTCTTATTTGGGGCTACTATTGTGGATGAAATTTTTAATATTTACAAGTTTTCGTGTTACCCATTAGTAAAAAAAGTGGATCAATTTGGGTTATTTATTCAGACCCGCGACGTGCTCTGCTTAAAAGATCAGCACACTAGGTTTTGTAAAATATGGTGCTCTCATTTGAGGAGTTCCCAAATTCAGCGAGATAAGGTGATTTTTCTGGGAGAGCCAAGTTGGACGAGCACATCAGGTTGTGTAGAACAAGTGCTTCTATCTTGAAGAACTACGTAGATGAGTTTATAGGTGTTTTTTTTGGTAGAACAACTTGTCTTGATTTTCTTCCCATGCCCAAGTGTGGTAACAATCCTCCCTCTATAAGGTAATAACTCAGCTCGCTACTTGAACAAGTCTACCCTTCAATCGAGTGAGAATTCAATCTAAATGTAATATGGGTTTATATAGCCAATGGTTAAAGTTTGTCTTTTGTTGCTATGTAGAGTGACTGCTCTACCTAGGATTTAATATAAAAAGAAAAAAAAAGACTAAAATTTTAGTATATTACAATACCTTGTCCCTTATAGAGCAACCGTAGTTAGAATATTATGCATAGAAAATGACATTAATATTTCTTTTAGGACCTCCATAGTAAATCTCTAACCTATAGTTAGTCAAGAGATGAAACAATGTATCTAGACATCATATTATCAAATCTAATATTTAGACATTGCTGTAACAGGGAAGTAATTTGTTATTCTTTTTCTATAAATAACATGTTTTTTTTCTATAATATGTGGGGGCGTGGATTTGAAATAACGATTTTTTGGTCGGAGATAGATGCCTTAATCAATTGAGTCATGCTCAAATTGCCTAACATGCTTGATATTACTAAACATTTTTTTTCTTTTTAATACAATAACATAAGGAACTATCATGGATGACTTATTGGTCTACAGAGACTAKGGTTATTTAAGAGGGAATGAATTCAAACCTCATAATGGACATCTACCTTAAGAATTAGTACATGTCTTAACTAGTTGAGTTACCTGAAGTTGGCTTGATGTTACTAACGCAGTGCTTAGTCTTCTTTGTGCATATATTTTCTAGTATTCCATTTTTTTTATTCACATACTTTCTAACAAAGAACATTATTTAAGTTAAAAAACTAAGCACCATGAACAAACTTCATGAATTCAATTCTAGGAGTTGAATAATGATATGAGAATGACGAGTAGCATTCTTTTAAATTACTGAGAAGTACTAATGTATTGGTGACCAGTTGAGTTGACTTCATTGGCATAGTCTGGACTGACCCATTTGCGTTGCACTTATCACCACACTTCCTCTCAACTTCCCAATTTGTTGGTGAAACACTCAATTTCTTTAACCCATTGCCCACGACCATGAGGACTTTTTTCTCATAACAAAGATCGCTATCAAAATAATCTTTAAAATCATGGAAACTAATGGTGAGTTTGTGATGAATTTTGAAAAAAAAAAACTCAAAAGTGAAACATTTCTTTTCTGTGAAGTGTTTTCATGTTTTTATAAGTGAACAACAAAATCATAATGAATAATTTTTTAAATAAAAATATTAAA